TTAACTTGCAACTGATAAAATCAAGTTCACACAAGGTCAATCCCTCAAATATGTATTGTGTTCACCAGAAATCAATGTTTTTGCTACAGAAGAATGAAATTTAGTTTGTTTCTTCGGGTGGAACATTAAAATACTAATGTTTTGAGTGACCTTTATTGCAGTTCAAGTTCACTGGAACATTAGCCTGACATACATAATATAACAGCTTATGTCATTTACAATTAGAAATTATTAAGAATGTGATTTACTGAAATTATGAAACAAGATAATTAAATCAGGAAATACGAGTTTGTTACATAGCCTCTGAAGTTTAAGTGTGATTTGTTTTGATCTAGTTAGACATGCTTTAACACTAACAGTAAGATCCACTAATAATATGACTAGTTGTTGTTTGTATACACAAACTGCTTGGTACAGATTGAATTGCTGTGCATTCTTACTAAGGTAGCAAGAGGCATATTTTTTGTTTGAAAGATGTTTTATGTTTGACACACGTGTTTTCGCAAAATGAAAGTTAAGTCATAAAACTGTATGTGCATAATTCTGTAACTTCTTTCATAACATTCTTGAAGGACTTTCTGTTTTGAAATTCAGGTTAAATGAAATGTATTTTGCATACCAAAAGCATTTAAATAATTTTACTACCTAGGTAGTGAGTGTGAGGCTATGTATTGCAACACTGTTTTGTGATATGTATATTGCAGTGTATTGTCATTGCCACTGTGGTGAGTTATGTAGCTTGAAAAACAAAACAAATGACACATTGTGATGATGTGTGACCAGCAATGTCTTTTCTTTGGTCTTCTGACCCGTGAAGATCCGGGTAAGAATTGGTCTTCAGCAACCCATGCTTGTCGTAAGAGATGACTAATGGGATCGGTAGATCAGGCTAGCTGACTTGGTTGACACGTGTAATCGTATCCCAACTGCGTAGATCGATGCTCATGCTGTTGATCACTGGATTGTCTGATCATTTACAGACCCCCACCATAAAGCTGGAATATTGCTGAATCTGGTGTTAAACAACGAACCAACCAATACTTGGGCTTCTGCTTCTGGTTTTATTGCAGGTTTGTGTGACTAAATAACCTTTCTTTATCTTCAGGCAAATGCATGTCTTGACGACTTCGATCGAATAAAAACATTAGGAACGGGATCCTTTGGTCGTGTCATGCTTGTACAACACAAAGCAACTAGAAACTACCTTGCCATGAAAATCCTTGATAAGCAAAAGGTATGTATGTAAGATGTTTTGTTTTGCACTTGTGAGTCAAATGCCTGTTTACCCAAAGACTGCTATTCACGACAATAGTTGTGCTGTCTTGTACAGCAGTGTTTGTTGCTACAATTGTTGCCCAGGAAACCAGAACATTGCATTACCTTATTCTGCAGACAATAGTCAATTGCCATTACAGTTTGTTTGGGTCGAAATGATACCGATGAATCATGATCTAACTCCAAGTCGGTTCATGATCAAACATTCATTTCAATGCAGGATGTAATGAAAACATCAGACCAATGCAGGGAAGAAAGTTTCATAATGTTTGTCTCCAAAATATAAAAGTTACTTAACTCTTTCAACACCAGTCAACCAGAGGCTTTTACTGCCGTGACACCGAGTTCCCAGAGACTGAGGTCATAGTCAACCATAAATCTACCCCCGCGTCCCGTGTCTCTGACGCAATAAATTCTGACAGGACTCATATTTTTTTACATGTGCGTCCACTTGGACGCAAGCTTTTGATGAAACACTAATGTTTACTTTTGTGGAGAGGCAATATCAAAGTATACATGGCTAAATCTTCGTAAATTAACTTCCATTCTCAAATAATTGACGTGAGCTAGTAAGTACACATTATTTTTAAAACGATCGCAGTTTTGATTCGTCATGATATTAAGTTCATTTCCATGTTTCCAAAAATAGACATCTAGGTCACACCAAGGGAGGTAAGCGGTATGCAAATGAGATCCCAAGATTCATTGCTCGAGCATGTGCAAAAATGAACTAACCTAGTTTTACACTCTATAAATAGACACAAACACTTTAAAGGGAGATATGCAAATGAGGTTTTCAAGACAAACTGATTGGTCAATGAACATTGTGACTCTGAATCCACAGTGTGAAGACAAAATATGAGCTCTCAGTACCAGTTAGAGAAAAGCAGGAAGCTTTAGTCAGTAGCTGAACAACTGTTAAATCTATCTGCATGTAATTTGAAAGTGAAAGTGACATTTGACAGGGTTAAAGTTCTGCTGAAATAGAATGTCATTCTGTTGTTTTAAGGTTCTGATTCTCATGTCCTGGAAAAGTAATCATATAAATGAATCATTTCATTTATAATTATGATGACATTTATGATATAATTCGTTCAATGTTAATAGTTAAAGTAAGACAGTTATTATTTGTGTTCATACTTGTTAAAGTGGCTTCCAGTTGGCATATTTCTTTTGATATAATTTGTTTTTGAATCACTGAACAGAGTGAAGAAATAAATCAAAACTTTGGTTGGAATTGTAGAACTCTATTCACAAAATATTACAGTGAAATTACATGGGTCTGGCTAGTAACTTGTTTCAGTGTCTGCTCTGGCTTAAATTTTCTTGGGGTCACTTGGACCCCTTCTTTTAAAAATTAGGGGTCCCCCCAAAAATGGATGGGTCCATATTTTGGTTTGTAATATAGCATAAACAACACAACACATTGGTTGTGAAAAATCAGATTTCAATTTGGAACTGCGAAAACATCAACAACATTAGTTTTAGCAAAACAGCTTTCTCTTTTTGTCACTTCTCCATTTGGTGACGGCTGGTGCAAGAGAAACATCCCTTACAGGAGGCCCTAGAGCCAGCTGCATCAGCGTGTCAAGCCGCTCTGATGATAGCCTGTTTCTGTGTGACCTCTTTATGAGGTTTTGAACACTGAAACCCCCCTCTCAACAGTTGCTGTTTGAAGGGGCAACAGGACAGCAACTTGTGCAATCTTGAACAGATTTGGAAATGTATCAGGGTGTCTTGACGACAGTATCTGCCATAACTGACAGATACTTGTACAAGGATAATGCTGCTGATGCACCATATCCTTGCACATTGCCCATTCTCTCAGGGTCTCCTCAGCATCTACAAAGGTCTTCTCACGATGACTGTGGAAGTCAATGATGTTTTGAAGTTGTTCTGTACCCCAGTGTTTTCTAGCATCTGCAACAGCAAATGAATATCTAAACAATACTAACTCAGACCAGTCCCACATCAGTTGTGAAATGTTTGTATCATCACAATATGAAAATGATCTTACTTTAAAAAAAGTACAATGAAGATTATTTAAAATGAATCTACAGTCTATCGTAAAATTGTGTTTTTTATCTATATATTTTCTGAAATTATACTGTAGTTTAGTGAAACTTTGTCTGTTTTCATGAGATAGGCTAAACTGATAACACATTTTACAGTTATATTACGTTCAGACAAGAAGGAGAGTCCCCTCAGTGACAGTACTGACATGCATGTCACAACATCAGTGGCCACAGCTGGGAATCTGCACTCAAGCTCGCTCATTAGGTTTTGCAGGAAAGCAGCCCGAACATTTGAGAACCGCTTCTCAACGCCAGCCTCTGATGTAATTGGGACACCATCAAACTCGCAGCTTCCCTTTGGACACTGACTTTCAAACTGTACAAGTGCCGGTCCATTTTCTTCCTTCAAATACTGCAGTTGCTAGAACAGAGTAACATGCAAAGTGAGACTTTAGAATAAAGTTCTCAATCAAGGAGCATTTATTTCATATTATCCTGAGTAAGAACCAAGTAATTGTTTCAAATTTGAAGAAAATTTTGCTTCATATATTGTTTTGGTTGAAACTGATTGCAAACATATAGCTTTCATGATACCTGTATAACAGCATCAATGGATGGCCTCAGTGCAGCAAGGTCTATGTCCTCCTTCTGAAACTGGTCATGGTGGGGATGATGTCCATCAGAAGGTGAAGGACAAGAAGGAACTTGTAAGAGGAAATGCGCTGCAAGATGCCTTTGGCAGTACTGTTGTTTGTTTCCACCCGCTCACTCTCCAAGAACAGAGCCAAGGGCTTCCAAGTCCTGTAATATAAATTATCAAACAATATTTATGTAAATCTATTGCAAAGATTAAGACGTTTGAAAGAACTTCAAGTTTGTTTTTTTAAAAATTCAGAGCTTTTTTGTTGCATAAAACTGGACAATATATTTGAGAAGATGTAGCTTACCTAAACACAGCCTCCAAAGCATTGTAGATTGAAAACCATCTGACGCTGTGAATTTCTTTGTATGTGACATTTTCGCATTCAAGCACCTCCTCTAGTGCATAAAGACGTTCCCGTCGGACAGAGGATTTCTTGAAGAAATAGAAAATGTCTGATAATGTCCCTTGAAATTTCTTCAGATAGGGAACATTTTCAGCAGCCTGGCTAGTAACCAGGGCAAGGCGATGAGCAATGCAGTGGACACCGATGACAGGCACAGTTGATTTCTTGTTGAGCAATGCCACGAAACCATTCTTGCGTCCAGTCATAACAGCAGCCCCCACAGCAATGATTTTGGACATAGGAAGGCTACGATCCTGTAATGTTTTTTTGACAGTTTCTAGAAGAGTAGTAGCCTTGCCATCAGGAATTTGCACATTAGCAAGGAAATTTGTTTCAACATCAAATTCTGAATTGAGAGATCTTGTGTAGATTAGGAGTTTCTTTGTAACTGATATATCTGTGCTTTCATCAATCAATATGGATATACAAGGACTAGCACTGATTTTGTTGGTTACTGAGACACGAAAGGAATTAGCTATTGCATCTTGCATGTCGTCAACTGCACAGTGAGATGTGTATTTCATAGAGTCTGAATCACAACCTAATGTTTTGGGAAATGATAACCCATGAAGCATGCATAATTCCATCAATGCAGCACATTTTGATGAGGCAATCTGCTCCTTTGCCAACCAGTATATATTCAGCATTGCAGATTGAACTGCACATTCCTTGTCATTTAGCACTTTGGAGACAACTGTGGACATGTTCTGTCTCAGAGATGTAGCTTGAATAGCAGAATTGTGGTCATCAGCTTTCATGTGCCTTACCAGAGTGGAATGCCTATAATTATGGCAGCCAACTGTAAATGCATTGGTCTTGGTTTCAGAAATACAAACATGACAAGTCATACCAAGTGATGTGTCAAATCTTAGCCAACTGTACTTTGTAAGCCAGTCACTTTGAAACCGTTTTTCAACTTTTTGTTTCTTTGGCAAAGGTTCATTTTCCGTGTCATTGTTTTCACCAGTTTTCTCAGCTGGTGATGGTTTATGAGCAGTAGTATTGCCAAACCAACTGACTAAACTTGCCTGAATACGATGGCTTGTCATCGCTGGAGCTGTCAAATTTACGCTAGCGTAGTAAACGACTTCCTTATAAGGATGTGCCGTATTTAACAGAACAAGGTAAATAACAAACTTTCGTTGACAGTGACAAATTTCAAGAATTAAAAACACAACTAGTCTGTCGAATATCGAAATATTTAGGGCGGACAAAAGGAAAACAACGCTCATATTCAAGTTTTCGCATTTATTCTGTATTATACATATTCTGTTGCTTGTTCGCGCCGTTACCCTGTTTGGAAGTATACCCTTGGCGTGCCTGGCTAGTTTTAGTTTGACACAAGGTCGTGATGTTTTCGACCAATCGCCAAGCTAACAACGTTGCCGAGCAGCTTCATAGGCTGCATCTGATTGGCTGACGGAAACCGACGGACCATACCGTACATTAACATATGCAAAACTGAAAATATATGTAGGTCAAGCAACCGGTTTGAGTAGTGGTGATAAAAAGTGCAAGACAAATAAAACCGGTTTGGTTTAACAACCGGAAGAGTTTATCAACATGTTTCGCAGACTGTTCGACATTAAATAACCCAGTACGCCAGGATATGCACACACAAAGCCGTACGTTTTTGATTTGTGATATGAAATTAATACTGCTCTAGTCGATGCGTCCACGAGACCCACACATGTTACGCAGGTGCGTTCAAACTCATATTTGTGCGTCCAAGACGCAAAAACGCGCTCTTCAGCCAACACTGTTGTTTATTTTTCTAGTAAAAGTAAACATTTGCTTGTCAATGGTCATGTAGAGCCCTGCTGTTAGTTTAATAATATAGCAGTCGACATGCCGCCCAGATAGATACTGTCAGAAAACACAAAGTTAGGACATTTCAGTCAGGTTGGCCGAATACTCATCGGTATGGCTGACTTATGACAGGGAAGGTGATTTAATATTTTGTAAACTATGTACTGGAAATGGTATGACACAAGATGCTAAATGCAGAAAGTTTTAAAATATAACTTTGACCAGACATCTCATCATAATGATAATAAACTGTCCGTTCAGGCTCCAAAACTTTGTGATGATTTCCAGGTTGCAACTGCTCGTATGTATGAAAAACAAGACAAAGCAGCTGTCACCTTGATGAAATCTGTTCATTGGTTAGCTTGTGAAAACACCCCACTGACAAATTTTAGACGTTTTGTTGACTTTTTATATGAATTTGAAAACGAAGACATTGAAATTCTCAAGGAAGGTAAAATCAACTATGATTCTCCAACCACTGCCGGTGATCTGTTAACATCTGTGTCTGATGTGATAGGGTATGAACTACAAGTTAAAATGGAAGAGTCTCCATTTGTTACGATTTAGGTACTACCAGCTCTGTTCTGTGAAATATCCCAGGACTGTCAGACTCACCTGTGCAACCTATAGTAACAATAAACCAGTTTGAATAATATTTGTGGCATTAATTTTTGTTAGGGACTCATAAAAGTTCTGAGGGACTCATAGTTATTCAGCTCAGTGAGTCTCGGGATTCGGGCAGTTGAATTTGTAGATTTATCACTGAGTCAACCTCTTTCTACAAACTGCTTACTTTGGCAAAATTCGTCTTATCTACAGTTATGTACGGTAACATCATTTGATGAAAACAGCTAAATTGATTCATGTTTTGACGTTTACACTAAGGCTTTAACGATTCACTCGCATATTCGGTGAATCGAACCATAGCCCTTCATGAATTCAATTCGTTATTCGTGATCACCAGAACCGAATATTAACCAATATTTACGATTTTTTTAAGGGAGCATGTTTTACTTGAACCCTTGTGTACTTTTGGAAAGTGAGATATGCAAGGATTGAATATGTACTAGCTTTGCAGTAGCACAAGTCATGTTAGTTTGCCAAGGCCACACATGGTACTGTTACTATAACTATACTGAACAGCAAATGAAACGTCACCCTACCAAAAATTTTGCCAGATATGTTTGGTTTCAGATGCTGTATTTGATACAAAAAACATGTCGTCAAAACTGGTTACTAAAGTAATGATGGGATGAGGTTTTGGTGCGTATTTCATGAAAATGACAATGCACATGCATCCTGAGGTGTCATCCCTATAAGAAGAGCCACTGAACATGCACCAAATCATTCACTGTTCGACAGTAGCGACATGCCACGATTATCAAGGGAACAGAGGGACCAAGCTTTAGGAAGACTGAATGCTGGTCAGACTGCAAGACATGTTGCAAATCATTTTCCTATTCATGTTCGAACAATATACCGCCTGCAGCAACCAGTCCAAGCCACTGGAAGCACAGCCGACCGTCATCGCAGTGGAAGACCGCCTGTGACAACGTTGAGGCAAAATCGGCAGATTGTCCGTCATCACCTGCAAAATCGTTTCGCTAGGGCTACGGAAACTGCACAGACAACCATTGGCAATAACCAGAGACCTATTAGCACCGACACAGTGCGGAGGCGTTTGAGGCCGAGACATGTCAGATGTCGCAGGCCTTACCGGGGTCCGATCCTCACTGTTCGACATCGTCGTGCTCGTCTCCAGTGGACCAAACATCATCGGAATTGGCTTCAACGGGAGTGGGGAGGTCCGAGCATAATGGTGTGGGGTCACAAACACAATCACAAACTAGGCCCTATGGTGTTCCAGAATATTGGTCCTGGTAGAGGAAATGGTGTAACATCTGACCGCTACATTGATCAAGCGCTGAGATCCTTCGTCTTGCCACATTTTGGTCGTCATGGAAACCATGTCTTTCAGCATGACAACGCGCGTGCCCATACTGCCAGAGCAACTACAGACTTTCTCCGTCAACACGGCATACAAACTCTTCAATGTCCTGCCCTCAGTCCAGACTTACACCCAATAGAACACTAGTGGGACGAGATTCAGAGGAGGCTCAATGATGTGCGACCAAGGCCGACAACTGCAGCTGAACTCTCTCGGGCGTATCACAGAGTATGGGCGTATGTTCCTATGGCCTTCATCAACCGTCTCATCCACTCCATGTACAGCCGATGCAACGCTGTTGTCAACGCTCAAGGAGGCCATACACGTTATTGACTTTATGATCGCTTTGTCGCGCCACCTGTCATCATTTTGACTTGTCATTGTCTGAAATTCGTCTTTAAGTATTGATTATCAAACATGTCAATTTTGAAATCTTTCCGACAATTATGTTATTTACATGTGTTTGAATTAAACTGATTACCAATTTCAAAAAGGGAGTGGCGTTTATTTTGCGGTTCAGTATATTACATACCAAATTTGAGTGTCATGATAATCACTGGTTATTGCTGTGACAAGTCAAAACTGTCAAAATGGGCGTTCCATGTTCTACATCAATCACTTAACTACAATACTGTATTTGTGAATAATTATTCGTATTCATTACCCAATATTTTTCCTTATCCTGACTCATGCTTAATTGCTTGTCTTCTTCTTCTTGCGAACTATAGTGGAACACTTGAATCCCCTTTTGAAGCTCCCTTCAAAAGTGGACGTAAAATCACTCACCCCAGTTGCCTGCCTTGAAACCATCTTTTGACGCGAAAGGTCACATGATTGGCCATGCTTGTTCACTCTCTTTCTTCGCCCAAGTGGACGGTTGTGAGAGCGCCTGGGTCCCCTATACGGCATATATCCTTTGAATTTTAGGCTGTTATACTAAATTAGGCTGTATAAGGGCTTTATCAAGGATTTACCAGCAATATGGTTTGAAATTTATTCTAAATTTGTCCGTTTTTCACGTTGTTGACAACATGTCTCAACTTGTTTACATTTCACGAAGACTTGCATTTCTTGCAGGTTTCGATTGTCGGCTGCTGATCCGCATTTAGTAAGTCCTAACTGGACTTCTATATGTTCTTCCAGCCTCCGCTGTAATCTTTGTCAGCATTTATCTCAAATTGAATTTTGTAATTATTTATATTCTGTTCATAGACGTGCCAAGGACAAATTGAGACGGCAGTTATTAGTCATGTCTCAACAGGGTGAATGCGCTTATAACTGTGGGTTGTTGTCTGTCGAGGTACATCATTCCAGTGTACTGCATGTGACGTCTGCTGAGCAGAGAATTGAGGATTCCGGCCTAAGGAAAAGATCGTCTTTGACTCAACAATCCTCGTCCCAGTCTAAGAAGACCAGGACGCCGTCTGCTGCGAAGACTAAGACGTCTTCAGACAAGTCTACAGTCAAGTCGTCAATGGGGGCAGCGAAGAAGTCGCAGATATCAACCGCAGATATCAACCCATCGGACGAAGCAGACGTGTACGATGAGCCGCCGATCCTCATCCCTGAAGTACCGACGAGGAAGAAGACGAGGTCTTCTTCTACACTGACGTCTGCAACTATATCAATGCAGTCAGACGGCCTATCTACGCAGACTGCAACTACCAGAGAGGACAGGCAGTCCTAAGATGACACCTCAACATTATCAGATGCGGCGTCACCTGTACAGCAACAGCAGTTATCAGCGCAGACCTTCAACCCAGGCATCTTTATGCAGCAGTTTACCCAGCAGATGATGGACCTGATGGAACGTAGGTTCGCTCAGAAGACTGCAGAGAAGCAGACGAATCTGCAAGGACGACGAACATCGTCTATACCTCAGCGGGATGAAGGACGAAACCTGCGTGAAGAAAACGTTCGTGAAGGGAACGTCCAGGATGACAACAACGATCGTGACGAATCTCGCGAAGGCATTCGCAGAAGGACCACTGGTGAAGACACTCTTGGAACCAACAACCAAGAAAGAACGCCTGCTACAGACGAGGAGCATTCGCGAAGGCATCGCAGATCATCTTCATCCTCGGACTCAGACAAACACCAGAGGTCTACGCGTTCACCACTCAGAAGAGATTATACGCCTTCACGAAGGCATACAACTTACAGAAACAGGTCACCATCGCGCAGATCCTCGGCAAGATCTTCATGGTCGTCACCACGCAGATACAGATCACCTAGTACATCTCCAATTAGGCATTCACGAGTGCCTACACGCAGGCTTACACATAGATCTCCACCTAGAGATCAGGACCAACAGCAACGACCTTCGGAACGAGACACATCGAAACCAGAGGATGATGGAGGAGTTATCTTCTCAGATACAAAGATCAAATCATGGATGGCTAATGGTCTGGAGCTTGCATCACCATCTAAAGAGAATAATGAAGCCTACACGTACATGATGTCTAATGACGATTGTGACACACTAAAACTGCCACCCATAGATCCGGTACTGGGCGTCCCAGACAACCTCAGCTCAGCCTTCAAGAAGGCAACGAAGTATCAGAGTCAAAGCATTCCACCGTGTAATGCTAAGAGATTTTCACTACACAATATGGAACCATTCATGAAGGCCCCAGAAGTAGATGAAAACTATAAACTCATCAATGACGCTCGCGTCAGGACTTATAAAGTGGAGGACAAGAAGCTAGCGCAACTAGACACAACCACTTGACGTACCTTCTTCTGATTAGCCAGGTCAAGGGCCATCAACAAAACCCTAATTGCGAAGTTTCCAAACTCTACATCTGAAAAAGATCGGATGATCTACTCAGCCTTATTAACCCAAAAGAAAGACCAACAGTTCATGTCAGAACACCTAGCGTCTACATAGGCGGGATTAACACTGCTACGAAGACAAGGTCTTCACGGCGCTACTCTGGCAAATCTAAATTTGCAGGGATACAGAGAGCTAGAGACAAGAAATACGGCACTTCCAAGGGATATAAGGATTCTTTTCGTCGCCCCACCAGAGCTCCTAGGGGTAACCCCGGAAGAGGCAGAGGATTCAGAGGTGCCAGGAACTTTAAACGTTGATGGACAGGGTCGGAACGACTGGAGTCTTCCACCCCCAGCCGTTCCCATGCAATCGAAGAAATACAAATCGTCATACCAGGTTTCTACTCCCCGATTTTTCTGGTCCCAAAGAAAAACTCCAGGGAAAAGTTCCGACTGATTTACAACATGAAAAAGTTCAACCAGGATTATCTAAGAAAGCCCGCAAGATTCAAAATGGTACATCTTCCACAACTCAGACAGATTATCTAGCCAGCATAGATCTACAGGATGCGTATCTTCACATCCCAATACATCAGGACTCAAGGAAGTACCTACGATTCCTGTTCAATGGACATCGCTGCCAGTGGAGGGTACTACCATTTGGAATATCATCGGCCCCCTGGTTGTTTACTCGAGTGACAAAGCCCATCGTCAGTTACCTACATCATCAAGGTCTACGCAGTGCGTTTTACCTCGACAACAGGATTCAAGCTCTTCAAGATCCCAATCTACTCAGACGGCAACTAACGTTTACAATCAAGCTACTCACTCAACTAGGATGGTTAGTAAATCATCTCAAATCGGAATTAGAGCCTACACAGGATCTACAATTCCTAGGAATACGAATTGTCACTTCAACGAATTGTCTATTAGTCCCGGATGACCGTTGGATCAAGATACAACAGATGATATCGCAAACACTACTCTCTCCGTTACCACTATGAGAGTGACAGAATCTACTCGGTCTCCTCACGTCAGCGTAAGATATGACATGCAGAGGCAGATTACTGTTGCGCCCACTACAAGTGTTTGTCAACGATCATCTAGACAGTCTGGATCCATTCGTCCTACCGAACAAGCTGAAACCATACCTATTATGGTGGACACAGAAGTCGAATGTCTGCGCAGGAACCTACTTAGCAGAGCTGGGATCCAACACACATCTCTACGTAGATGTGTCCCACCAAGGATGGGGGGCTCACTTAAACAACAAAGTGGCATCAGGAAAGTGGTCGAATCAGGAGCAGAAGCTACACATCAACATGCTAGAGTTGAAAGCAGTTCTAAACGCCTTACTACACTGGTCCAGCATACTAAGGAACGCTCAACTGATCATCCATACGGACAACTCCACAGTGGCGTTCTACATCAACAAACAAGGGTCAACAAGGTCAAGAAGCATGTTGGACCTCAGCTTCCAACTATTCAGCATAGTAGACAACCTGAACATCGACATAAAAGCGTCACACATTCCCGGAGCCAGAAATGTGATAGCAGACGCCCTATCCCATCCTATGAATGCGTCACCGACGGAATGGATGCTACACCCAGAGGTATTCAAGGACATCATTCGGACAATAGGATCCCCACTGGTAGATTTGTTCGCAACCAAGTTCAACAAACAACTTCCAACATTCATCTCTCCGGTCCCAGATCCTCAAGCATTGGCAACGGACACCTTGAGCATATCGTGGGAAGGACTAAACGCGTACGCGTTCCCTACAACGGCACTAATACCAAAGGTATTACAGAAAACCAAAATGACAAACAAGTTACAACTGATTTTGGTGGCGCCTTACTGGCCAACGAGAGAGTGGTTCCCCAACCTCATACAAGATATAGGAAGTCCAATCCTACAACTTCCAAAGTGACCAAATCTACTGATTCATCCACACACCAAGCAAGCACACAGAAACCCAACTATATTTCAACTACACGCATGGAGCGTATCACGACGTGCTTGAGGGAAAGAGGATATTCCACCAGAGCGGCCAAAGCAGTAACTTTAGCCTTACGCAGATCAACCCGTAACTTGTATGATGACAAGTGGCAAAGTTTTGAGAAATACGCTCGGAATAAAGGCTTCACTGCAATAGAAGCAACACATCCTCAAGTGGCGGAATACCTTTGTCATCTTAGACAGACAAAACGATTGAAGGGATCTACATTCTCAACATACCTAGCGGCCTTGAGCTCAGTTATCACGATGAAGACAGGTATAAAACTGACAAAAGTACCAGAGATACTGGCACTACTACGCTCATTCAAGTTGGAAGACCAACAAAGAAAATTCAAGGCGCCCGCTTAGGATCTCAACGTGGTTCTACAACATCTTACCAGCGAAGATTACGAACCACTAGAAAGGACATCATATGAGAAATTAACTCATAAAACACTGTTCCTCGTAGCCTTACCTACAGCGGCAAGGATGTCAGAAATTCATGCATTAGACTTCGAACGAACAAGATTTGACACGCATCGTGACACAGTGCATGTGGGACTAAGATGGGATTTTATAGCAAAGAATCAACTGCCCGGTCAACCAGACAGACAATTCCATATCCCAGCACTTTCGTCGATATTAGGACCACAGAATACGCAAGACCGATCCTTATGTCCAGTCAGAGCATTGAAAATATATCTACAGAGGTCTAAATTGAGGAAACGAAAATTCAAGAGCCTTTTCATCCCTCTATCTACGGAGACACCTACAGAAGTCTCACGTACAACCATATCAATATGGATGAGAGACGTCATATTGAGAGCCTATAAAGCAGCAGGACTTGATCCTCCACGAGCCTCCAATCCTCATGAAGTCAGAGCACTGGCATCCATGCTAGCTCTGCACGGAAACTGCTCCATATCAACAATAATGGAGGGTTGCTTCTGGAGGTCGGAGACGGTGTTTGCCAACCACTACCTCAGAGACATGGCTACAGAGGACGTCTCCGACATACACCAGTTTGGGCCGCTTGTTGTAGCACAACAATTGACGGTACCTCAAAGGCGCTGAGATAAATCTCACCCTTTTGTCACCTGACTTGTAAAAGCCAATACTCAACAGAGTACGGTTTTAGAGTCCATGCGCACGTCTAGGACAGGCTAGCATGAGTGATAGACCCGGTACTTGTAAGGACTTACTTGTAAACGAAGTAGGGTCACTTCTCCACTTGATGCATGCATCAAGAGATGTAGTCGTATAAAATCCACACAAAATATCAGGAGAAGATTTCCAGGATAAATCTGACAAGCTGTGGTCCCCCACATTCATCAGAGGAAGCTGGAAGAAAGGACAAATGCCATTAGAAGTTCCCAAAGGGGTATAAGGACGTAAATCAGCAGAGAATCCAGAGTGGCTTGACTCACCACCGTTTCCGTCGGATTCTACAAGCAATTAAGCATGAGTCAGGATAAGGAAAAATATGTAATTTTCTGACAAAAAATTGATATTTTATACATATCCTGACTCATGAGGTTAGTCCTCCCAACCTCCCCTCATGGCACTCTGGATTTCCCTGCAAATCCAAGTGTCAGGGCCTAAAATAACGGAGAGAGTGAACAAGCATGGCCGATCATGTGACCTTTTCGCGCCAAAGAAGGTTTCAAGGGAGGCAACTGGGGTGAGTGATTTTACGTCCACTTTTTTGAAGGGAGCTTCAAAAGGGGATTCAAGTGTTCCACTATAGTTCGCAAGAAGAAGAAGACGAGCAATTAAGCATGAGTCAGGATAAGGAAAAATATTGGGTAATGAATACGAATAATTATTCACGAATACAGTATTGTAGTTAAGTGATTGATGTAGAACATGGAACGCCCATTTTGACAGTTTTGACTTGTCACAGCAATAACCAGTGATTATCATGACACTCAAATTTGGTATGTAATATACTGAACCGCAAAATAAACGCCACTCCCTTTTTTGAAATTGGTAATCAGTTTAATTCAAACACATGTAAATAACATAATTGTCGGAAAGATTTCAAAATTGACATGTTTGATAATCAATACTTAAAGACAAATTTCAGATAATGATAAGTCAAAATGACGACAGGTGGCGCGACAGTCCGATCATAAAGTCAATAACGTGTATGGCCTCCTTGAGCGTTGACAACAGCATTGCATCGGCTGTACATGGAGTGGATGAGACGGTTGATGAAGGCCATAGGAACATACACCCATACTCGGTGATACGCCTGAGAGAGTTCAGCTGCAGTTGTCGGCCTTGGTCGCACATCAGGCCCCAGTTAGCTTTGGTGACCCTGACCTTCATTTCAAGGTCACAAGCAAACTTTTAACATTTCACCCGTGTCAGTGAGATATCTCAAGAACAGTTCACTGAGACGGTTGATGAAGGCCATAGGAACATGCGCCCATACTCAGTGATACGCCTGAGAGAGTTCAGCTGCAGTTGTCGGCCTTGGTCGCACATCAGGGCCCAGTTAGCTTTGGTGACCTTGACCTTCATTTCAAGGTCACAAGCAAGCTTTTAATATTTCACCCGTGTCAGCGAAATATATCTCAAGAACAGTTCACTGGCTTTTCTTCATATTCAACACCAAGCTTCATCAAGGGAAGACGCAGGGCCCAGTCTATTTTGGTGACCTTCACGTAATATTCAAGGTCATAGCGACACTTTGAAAATTTCAGCATGTTAACCTGCATGTTAAGCCTGTCAGCAAGACACCACAAGAACCATTCACTGGATTTTCTTCATATTTGACACCAAGCTTTATCTAGGGAAGGCGCAGAACCCTGTTGATTTTGGTGACCTTCACTTAATTTTCAGGGTCACGACCTGCATGTTAAGATTGTCAGCAAGATACCTGAAGAACAGTTCACTGGATTTTCTTCATAGACTTTCAAGACATCTATTGAATGTTTTTTATAAGCAATTTCTTTATTGCTATTTTTGCATATTTCATTCACCATGACATTCATGTCGAGGTGAAAGCGAGTCTTGGAAATATTTTGTGTCCTTGAACAGCTACAGAGCAAAATCACTTTCATTACTTTTTAAGTTTGACTTGATAATTTGCGGCATGGGATGATGTCACCATAGTGACAATGATTGTGTTTATTAACAAGTGCTGATGTACCAATGTGAGCATTGAAATATCAGTTTTCCATTTTAATTTTAACAATATTGAAAAACAGTCCTCTCAGTGAGACACCTGAAATTGCTCAAGAGGGCGAATCTGCTTTATCACTATCACTGAGGCAACATTCATATTTATAAAACTCATACTACCCTTAAACAGCTTGTTGATTGACAATAGCATTTTGATCAAAAGTTTTGGCAGTCAATATTGCTGCAATGAATACACAATGAGACACAACAATGTTTCACAAATGTTTAAGGTAACTATAAATATTTATTTATTTACTA